GTTGTTGGGAAGAAAAAACTGAATAGGCTGGGGGTCATCACATATATCCCCTTCAGTTCACTGGAATAAATTAGCAAATAAATTAAACCATATTAAATAGAAATGAATAATTTTACAAATTCAGGTGGGCTTGATTGCTTGCTTTTGTTTTTTGGCTTCTTTTACCCCATGCGCTGAAGCATACGGCCAACATCCTTCTGTCAGAAATCTCAACTAAACCAACAGGTTTAGGTCTCTAGCTGAAGAACCAGAGGCTGGTAGGTTGATTCCCCATTGTTCCTCCTTGACAGGGGCCAGACTTGATGATCCATAGGGTCCCTTCCAGCTCTGTAGTTCTAAGATTATAACTCATATTATACCCATTGTATTCTTGTGTTTCTAGCAAATGTTGTGAAAATGAGGGGCCTCATCAGGTCATGGTCTTCTTCACTAGTTTGGTACTTGAGTACTGGTTAAATCTGACCCAGTTTCCTCTGAAAGGGATTTAAAACATCAAGTGTAAGGCAAAATGGAGACATCTCCAAGATTTCCAGAGACTTTTGGACCCTGTGACTGGAGTTTATGGACCACCAGTGGGTCACATTTTGGGAACCTCTACATCAGGGGTTCTCAAAGTGTGCGCCACGGTTCCCAGGGTGCCACCAAACCGAACCAGGGGCATGGTGGAATCCTCTTCATGGAGCTAGTGCTGGTGGTGTGGGCCTCTGTACTCCTTCACCTCCGTCTCCACCCTGTGCCCTACACCGCTCTACCTGGTCCTCCACCACTGATACCACTCAAAGGAAGCCATGAGTCGAAAACGTTTGGGAAACACTGTTCTATGTAAATACCACAGGGATAATTTCCCCTGTTCTCTTCTCTCACTGCAGCAATGCCAATCTTTCTGGACCTATATGGGCTACAGATATCCCCATATAAGAGAAACACTACCCCCCCAAATGACAGGTATTTTTTAAAATCCCCTAAAGTGTCATCCAAAGTATAGCTACAGTTGGCCACTGATGTCATGTAGGCCTGATGTAGGCTAGAGTTACAGAAACCCTTGAATGTCTGAGGAGAGGGGCTGTCCCACTGTGCCTCGCCTAATGGGCAATCCAGGCTGGAAAGTATCTTTTGGCAAGGCATATTTGTAAAGGGCATCATTTGGAATTCTTCCTCCTTTTGCTGCACAAATTTAGTACAGCTGATAAAACTGACTAGCCTTTACCTCTTCGCTAAAAGTTTCACTTCCCAGAGCTGGTTTACGTGACGTTTCCCACACGGTCTCCCAGCTGGGCACAGATCTAGATATGCTTAACTGTAAGCAGAGTTTCTCCTTAATGAGTGGGAAGTATTGGTGAGTAGACAGTGCACTCTTTGTGTTCAGATAATTATTTGTGTTGCTAGAGTAATCCCAAAATTATGTATCACAATTTAAAAATGAAATAAATAAAGCAGGAAAGGGCTAGAAAATAGTCAGTCAGAAAAAAATACATGTGAAAAATTATATAGCTACTTCCCCAGCCCCACCCCCACCTCCAACACCCGTACATACTTCACCTGTTGGGCAGGACAGAAATCTAAGAAATAAAACTATAAACAATAATTCAAAAACAACCCTTCATTAAGATATGCTTTATCCCTTTGCAAATGCAGACCTGGTACTTCCCACCTCCAAGCTTTGCTCCGGACAGCAACTGAAAAGAAAGGAAATGATCACACATGAAATCATTCTTTCCACGCAGGCAGACAGATTGAGAGAAATCCCGGTCTGTTTCCAGTTTTTGTCTTCAGGGCATTTTTGGAATTTCCTTCAGGAAGTAAAAGGTTGCGACCTGAGAAACCTCTTTCAGTCAGGGAGCAGAATTTCCCACCATAAACCTGATGGAGAAATGACACACACTCCTAGAAGGGGAAGGTTATCTTTGCAACCCAACTGCATCCTGTAAGTTTCAATAAAATTCCAGGGTATTACCTAGAGAGAGAGAGAGGCTGAGAGAGAGTATGTGTGTGTGTGTGCACACCGACATGTGGAAGGGAGAGGGAAAGGAAAAACCAACCTAGGTAGACGCATATGATAAAGCTATCAGGATTTCAGGTTCTGGACCACTGAATGACACATCTGCAGTAGATGGATTTTGGCTGGTTGTACATCAGCTTTGGACAGAAATTATCCTGACACGGATACAGTAAAATAACCAAGTATTGTGAAGCTCTATCATCTGAGTATGAGGAATTGTTTTGAGCTTCCCAGTTTAATCAGGACTGTAGAACGAAGTGGAACAGCAATGCCCACCATCTGCAGAAAGAGCAGTAACTTAAGTAAAATGGAATAGGATTACTGAGTCCCCTTCAAGCAACATGGATATTAGCAGTGCAATCATATATGCACCTCCTCAGAAATAATTATGTTCAGTGAGGCCTTCTTTCCAGACACAGCCAGTCGAAAATATTTTGGGTCACAGATTTGGGGGGGGGGATCAGGCTGCTGCTACAAAACTGTAACCTCAGCAAATACAGTATAGAAAACCAGCATAACAAAAGAAACAGTTTGGGGCTAGCTTTCTATAATTTTCCATGTGCAGAGAGTTTTCCACAGGAGAGGCCATCATCCATTTACAGCCTAATATACTGTAAAACAAACCAGGAAAAAATGTGTCACGTTATTCTACCACATATGTTTAGATCAGCTTTCAGAAGAGTGTACTTTGAGACTGGTGGTTCCAGCTGTCTAGAAGGCACCGCACCCAGTAAATGCATCATGTAGTTTCTGTGGAGGTTGTTCATCTTGCTGCTACAACTGATTACCACTAAATATGCCTTTTAATACGTAGTTGCATGCACACATTCAGAGCTACTCATCTTTCATTTACCACAGAGTCACTTAATATACTGCACGGTTAAACACAGTTCTATGATGGGAAGCTGCTGTAGCATTAAAAACCTAATTCTCCTTCCCACCATCAACCATTCAGATCCTTCCTCTGTGTTGTTTTAAGTCTTGACAATTTCACCCCCATCTGGCAAAATGAAATGGCCACGTGATAAGAGGACATAAATATGTAGCAATCAGGCGTGCAATTGAGGTTTGGCACTTAGGGAGGGGAGCGAAGAGGTTTCACACAGTGTGTGCGAAGTCACGGTTCACAGCAGGCAGTTGGAAGGCTGCACCGTGATGCTCGAGGTTAAATTACAAACACTTGCATTTCTGGTGGTGCCCTCCATTCTATAGCTCCTAATTACCGGATACATTAATGCGCTCATGAGTAATGATGATGCCCAATTTGATCTGGGGGAGGAGCTCCACTTTCCAGTCTTTGCCAAGGAACAGCTAGGCTTCCCAACAAAAAAAATGCAACTGCTTTTTCAAACGGCCACACAGAGTCCTGTAAAGGGCTGCCACTCATTATGTCTTTCTTTGGTAGAACAAGAGGGAGTCAGTGTAGTGTCGTGGATAGAATGCCACACAGAGTGTGAATTGAGTGTTGGTACTGGGTTCAAATCCCCACTCGACGATGGAAACTCACTAAAGGGTGTCAAGTGTGAACTGCCACTTGAAAATCTCATATGCATTGAAAATACTATTGCAGACTCATTAAGGCAGAACGGAGTTGATGCCGCACAACAGCAGCTTAGACACTTTGAAATATTTGAGTTGTTCCCAGGCTAGAAGCAGTTTCCTGTGACTTTTTTGGGTGGTAAGGGAGAAGAAAACTCTCCAACACCCCTAGCTGCTATAGCCAGTGATCATGAAGCCGAGGAATTCAGAGAAATTAAATTTTAAAAGGGAACTTCCCATAACGGTGACTGGAGATCACACCTTTGAGTTTATGCATATAGTACATGGTGAATACATAACTGCTGTACCTTCTGCCTTGCTCTTCCCCAAATTGCACCACCCAACCTCATTTTCTGTTGAGGGGCAAAATGTGAAGCCCCCTTTGCTTCTGCAGCATGAGCAGGAATGTGCTTTCTGCTAGTTCCCGTGCCAAGGCCAAGACTCTTATCTCTGCACTGCAACTTGACAGCCCCCTCCAAGGATTCAGAGGATAGATGGGACTAATTGTTTAGTTTCAGGAGAAGGAACAACAGTATGAAGCCCCCTCTAAGGCGCTGGTTCCCAGCCTTGGGACCTCAGATGTTCTTGGACTACAGAAATAATGGCCAGCACTGCTCGTGATGAAGGCTTCTGGAAGTTTTAGACCAAGAACATTTCAGCACCCAAGGGTGGGAAACACTGGTCTAAGGGCAGAACAACGTGCAGTGGGAGCAGACCTGCATTTTTTTAAAAAGCAGATTTGCCCAATTACATGTGAAACAGGGTGAACAAATGGGAATAGTGAATTCAGTTCCTGCCTCCCTTCCAACCCCAAATTCCAAGAAGGACTGTGGTGAGTGTAAGATTTCTGCCTGCCTCTTTTATGCCTTAATTTGAAACACATCCTCCATCCATTTTCACATAATTGAGGCAGAACTGCAGGGACACAGTGGCATGTGGAGATTTGTTCCTGGGGGTTTTAAAATGAGAGCACTGGTCTCTGTGCCTCTCCCCCCATTTTTTGGAGGGAGGCTGCATTTAAAGAAACAGGTCTGGCACAATCACATTGAGCATGTTCTTAAACCTTCAGTCATAATATTCCAGTCACAATTTGGTTACTCTTAACGGATACCTGTTTCAATTTAATGTTGCCTCACTACAGAGGTCACCCATCATAGCCACTACTGAGAGGGTTTATATACATGTGCAAGAACTATGGACTTTAATAGTTTCCACATAAACGAGGACATCTTTGTGCATTTGTTTCCTTTGTTAAGTAGAGATAATATGGCAAATGTTCACTGCGTCTGGGGAATTAAAATGGTGTGAATATTTCCACTAAACTCTCTAAAGAGTAGCTGGTTTTAACCATAATGGATGAAAATGTGAAGGAAGGAATGGCCATAAAAGAACATGTACAAAACCCCCAGTTTATTAATGTTTAGAGGTCAGTGAAGCTATGTGCAAATTGTACAAAGTCAGAAACATTTTAAATACTATTTTATATATATATATAAAAGAAATTGCACTGGAAATAATACTAAAATGTCAGTCACATAAAAAATTCAACCAATTTTTGTACATTAATCACTTGACTTCATCAAATTCTTTCCACAGTACTGTAATGCTCTAGGTCACTAGTCTTCAAGTGAGGAGGGGGTTCAGTCCATGAGTGGATCACACCAGGAGATATCAAAGGCTAGAAAAGTATAAACTCCAGAACCCTCCCGCCAGAATGGCAAACCACTGCCATTTCCTTCAGACTGTTTTGCTCTGGAATCTTCTGAATATAAAGATTTGCTCTTCTGCTGAGCTGTGATCCCTCCCATAGAAAGAAGGAGAGGTGCTTTTAAGAGACAGATTCTTCAATTCCACCCCCTCTTGCCCTTTTCATGATACTCTTACTCTCTTGCTCAACTGCAAAAACTTTTGTTGTTTCTTTGCATGTCATCACCCTTGGAGACAAGAGGCAAGCCTAGGTACTAATTTAAATTGGATAGTACCCTGTAGATTTGGATTACAGGTGAAGCCACAGGTCTGGTAAGACTAAAGCCATTTAGGTACAGTAAAGATTCTATGCTTGTTGTTATCACCTCTCTACACAGTACATAATCAACCTGATCATCTCAGGTTAGAAAATAGATGCACACACGTGTGTATATTTATATAATATACACACACTTAGACAAGAAATTGATGCAGAAACAAATTACATTCAGTTAACACAAAGAATACCTTCGGTGAACATTGATTGATAAACTATTTACATCTTTTAAAACTATGAATGTTCTGAGATATAAAATGTTCTGGAGTGTAATACAGAGGACCATAGTCTACTAACTTAAGCCTGTGGTGGCTTATGGACTTAGGAGGTGGGGGCACCTCATCCCCAAACTTTGGGTGCAGTGCTCTCCACTCTAGTCGTGATCCATCAGTGATGAAGTCTACAACCTACGGAGACTCAACTTTGTTCAACCTTCCTAAGGCTTAGAACAGTCTCATCGCCTAAACCACAACTGCAACATTGTGAAAGTGGGCAAAATGATGGCAATTTTACAACATTTTGTGTAGAGAGGTGCCACAAAAATTATTAATAATAAATTCAATTTGCCAAATCAATTCAGTTGCAAGGTCCAAATGGTGCTACTATTCGAAGCATCCCAACCTAACTCAAGTAAAGCCCCACTAAATCTCAGGCAGTTCAGCTGGAAGAAGACATATGGGGCTGTGTTTCTCAGACAAACCAACTACAGCCTTCAACATCCAATTGCCATCTACTTTTAATTGAAGGTCTGCACCTGGCCAATCTTGAGGCACAATCCTCAAGTTCTTTCTTTGTTTACCCAGAATACATCACCACTTTTGCTTCCCTTGCTTTGAAGTAAGTTCAGAAGGCCCATTGTTCAAGAACAGTGAGATCTTTGTTTCAGGGGTTCACATTTGTCTTAGGAAGGAAAAAAAAACATTTGAAGATAACTTCTCTCTCCCCTCACTCACACTTCCATTAAATATATGTTGTTTTACCAAAGATTTAGTCCTTCAGAATGATTTAGGGCATGAACGTTCCTAACCATCGTAAGCTGCCTCAGCATAAAGCCAACACATGAACTTCCAGGAAGGGTTCCTCCTTCTATCTTATACCATCAACCTTAGGAAGTGCCTCATTTTCTCCCTTCAAACCAATCTCTTCTCCCATAGCTCTTCTCCTTCTGGCTGGAGACAAGTGAGCAGAGCCATTCCCCTTGTGTCGGCCTTCGAGGGGCCGTATTTCTTCTTCGCACAAAGTCCTAAGATGATGAGGTGACGTTACCCGAAGACACAATTGTCTCTGGAGAGTCACCCTCATCTTTCTGTGGATGAGAGGAATTGTCAGATCGGCTTCGGCTAAACTCTATCCCTCCAATGATTGGTCTCTTGAATTTGGTCCCTGAGTCTTTGGCAGGACACTTACAGCACCACATAATCTTAACAAAGGCCCTCCGCATCTCCTTATTGGTTAGCGTATAGATGATGGGGTTTGTAGCTGAGTTGAGAACAGCTAGGACGATGAAATATTCAGTTTTGAGGAGGATTGGGCAGGTTTTGACCTCGCATTTCACATCCAGCAGGAGGAGGATGAACAAAGGAGCCCAGCAGACAATGAACACACTTAAAACAATGATCACTGTCTTCAGCAAGGCCAGAGATTTCTCTGAGCTCCGGGTGGCTTTGGCAGCATTCTTCCGAAAGGTCAGCCTACGGCTCCTTGTCCTTACCAAGATGTAGATTCTGCAATAAAGAACCACGATGGATAACAAGAGGACAGTGAACACGGTGGTGCAGAAGAGGATGTAATGCTTATGGTAGAGAGGCAGCACAGTGGAACATTTCTTTAGAATGCCAATGCAGTTCCACCCCATAATAGGGAGACCCCCTAATATCACAGAGACCACCCAACAGGCACTGATCAGCAGGAAACAACGGAAACTATTGCTGCCATTGTGGAGTTTCATCTTCAGCATTGTAATATACCTCTCAATGGCAATGGCCAGAAGGCTGAAGACTGAAGCAGACAGTGCCACAAACATACTCCCTTCCCTAAGAAACCACTGGGCAGGAGTAAGGGTGTAGGTTTTGTGTCCAGACAGCAAGAGGTTGGCTGTGTAAGCCACCCCAGCCAGTAAGTCCGAGAGTGCCAAGTTGCCAATGAAGTAATACATAGGTCTGTGGAACTTCTTGGTTTTCCAGATAGTGAGCAAGACAAATATGTTCTCCAGGATGATGAAGCAACAAATGATGATAAAGACCACAGAAGAGGCTTTGATCCCATGGTCCCCTTTCTCATTTAGCTTCCCAGTGAAGTTGTAATGCTTGATGATGATTTCATAATTGACATAATCGCTGACTGTATTAGTGGCCATCACATGGGGGCCACTGGTGGTGTCCATGGTTCCAGTGTGGACCGCAGTTCTCCAGACAGCTGCCAAGAGGCGACGTAGAGCAGAAACTTTTCCCAACCACCCTTGTTGCGCCGTCCAGATTTCTGTGACTCCAATTTCTAGCACGTTCTAGGTAACCTCAGAAACCACATCCTTTAAAAAAAAAACAGGAGACAAAAGGCAAAACAGAATTAGCGTAGTTCACTGCAACTCAAAAGCCAACATTTTGCAACACAAACACAAAATCCTGGAAGTCCACTATGGTCAGAATTATGCAAATTAAACACTAACAGTGAAAACACAGTTTGCCTCAAATTGTGTACATAATTCAGATCTGCCTTCCTCAATTCAGCACCTTCCAGATGTTTTGAATTACAATCTCATCAGTCTCATACAACATCACTAATAGGCAGAGATTCTCAGAGTCATAGTCCAAACATGTGAAAGACACCAGACTAAGGAAAGCTACAGGGGGGAGGGAGGACATCATCTAGCATTAGCAAAAACAATAACACAGGCTATTTGAAGCAAAGATTATATGCTAATACAAAAAATATTCTCCTATAGACAAGTGACTCTTGGAGTTTAAATTGCCACCACAATAGTAGAGAGGAAGAGGTAACAGTTATTACAAACCATATGAACATCCATCAAGTATCAGAGACTTTGGCAAACATTTATTTTAAATATGAATGCTCATAACTATGAGGTCTTGATAACTGCACTGGTGTCATGTACAAGGTGCTTTGATTTTTACATAAACTGCAATCAAATCACAGCACCCAAAACTTCTGTGCATGATTAAAATCTAGTTCAAGACGTGTCTAAAATCATCAGCATCACCACCAACGCTTACCCAGCTTGTTGGCGTTGCTGAATAGAAAAACAAAAGAATGGTTGAGACAACTCAAACTCACAAAGCAAACTCAACTTTTGAAATGCAGTTTCAAAACAATGAGAGGAAACAGGAATTACACACAATTGTTGGCTTTCATTGTCTACAAGACATTTCTACTTAACTCCACACAGTCTTTCTCTGACAACCTTCCAGGACAAATCTTGTGTCTACTCAGAAGTCAGTCCTGCTGAGAACAAGACTCTCCCCCATCCACCTTATTAATCTTTATATATCTCCTTAAGCTCCTGAGCATCAAAAGTACAAATCCAGTCAAAGAATGGCTTTTAGGTTTCCTGCCTCCAAGGCTTGTCCATTATCCCACCATAGCAGGTTCACAGCCATTGTGAATTCAAATAGGCAAAAGCTCTTACCTAAATCCTTTGCAAATGTTCAGTGGAAGTAAGAAGGGGGAGAGTTGGGACTGTACCCACCTACCATCTCTGCTCCTAAATTTCATACGTTGTATTAAGTTCTGAACATTGTCTAGTTCAGAGATATACAACTTGTGTGCACACACACACAAAAATGCTTCCCGATTGCAAGGTCCCTGGCTATCGTAGAGGGAACCTATGATATGAGCTCTTTTCAGAACTCTCTATCTGAATGTGCAGAATATGAGAACAGCAATAGTGACCAGGCGCAACGGGAATGCTACCCCTCTCCAGGCATCCACAGCATGTCTGCACAAAGGTACAGATGACAAATTTACCATAAGCATCCTATTATACAACAGCTGAAGGCACATTAAAGATCATCAAATTGAATTGGATTGAATTGGGTCTTGTAGAGCCAAACCCTATTTATAAATCAAGCTGCATGACTAAAGTTGAAATCAAAACAAGAGCACGTTAAACCAGGTTAAGAAGAACATAGAGCAAAACAAATTTTTTTTTATCAAAACCAAAATGATTCAAGCAAACAAACTGCTCTCACAAACTACAAGACAGAACCCTCCATTGACATCAGCCAAAATGAACAGGGTGGAAATTGCTTCTGTCCTATACGTGGCAGTGTTCTTCCACTCCATGCTTAAGAACAAAACTCCCTTCCCTTGGATCCGCTAACAGGCTCAGTGGTGGCCCCACATTCCTTCAGCAGCTCAAGTTCTCCCCACTTCCAATTTCTCTGATAAAGGAGGGAAATATCATTTTATAAAGAAGCAGCTCCTCCTGCTCTTATGGTGCACTAGTGCCATTAAAACCTCAAGGTGATGCTTTCTATTTGGATTCTGTCATCTCCTACTCTGAGACAACCAGCTGAAGTCTAACTTCTGTCAGTCAAGGGCACTTTCTCACACTTGGCCAGAAAACGGCACCATAGCAGACAATCATGCGCTTTCCTTTACAAAACAAAACAAAACTTTTTCTTCCTCCCTAAAATGGAATTTTCTGTGCCATGCTCACAGAGCATGACAAGCTGTGGTGTACAGTTTGCTGTAATCTGGTTTGTTTTGCCATGCAAATACAGCACCAGTAACAAGTCACAGCTTGTTAGCCAGGCACAAAGCAAAATTAAAAGCCAGGATTTGCGCCTTAGAAAACAAAAAAACGCCACCTTCTAAATATTATCAATTATGTTACTAGGCAGCATTTCTACATCTACACTACCATCAAGTTGACCATGGCAATTATATAGCGCACTGGTGTTTTAGCTATCATAATGTCACATTTCTGCATTGCCATAAAAATTATCTTTTGTACTCTTCCTGCCAATGGACATTCTGTTAACCATCCAGTGTCCCTCAGCCTGTGCCCCTATAATTGAACATCCCATTCTCTCAGTGAATTCTGCATGTTAAGCTATGAAAGCAGACGTCACCTTAGTCTTCAAAAGTTAGCCTCTAGTAGCTGCCTATGTTTTGTTTTGTTTTACAAGCAAGTCCACTATCAGCTGCCTGCAACTGGCGATCATGTCTGGCTTGGGCGATACAATCTCCAGTATTCTGGAGGCAAATCTTCCACCATCAGCTCAAACCCCTTCAGCAGGCTCAGTTCACAGGGTCATCGCTGCTGGGCATGAAGTGCGTAGAAAGCTGAGGGGCGAGTTAATCCATAGGTACAGGCACTACACAACATTCTGGGAGAGTTTTCTGTTGCAGATAACAGGATTTAACTCCTGGGCAACTTTCTGCCACTTCCTGCATCACTGGGTGATGCCAAGCAGCACAACAGAGAGGCGAGGGCTTCCAATGCTCTGCAGGCTTTCCTAGGAGTAAACCCCATTGAACACAGTGGGACTTGAACGCCTCGTGCCCCACGAGCACTCCAATATTTAAATCACGGCCACTTCCACGGAGAATGATCCGTGTGGTGGTGGGCAGCCTTCCCACGTTACAAAGAAGCAGTGTTGGGGTTGCCACCGAGCGTGTCCCAAGCGAAGCGGATGTTCTGACAGCCGTCCTCGCCTCGTCCTGCCTGGCCAAGCCAAGATCCCAGAACGAAGCCGGTCCCTCCTTTCTCGCTACATTCACACGTGAGAGGCATTTGAAGGCTCCTTGGAAGAAACAGCAACGCGTGCAAGGGGAGCCGCTGTCCCCCGCACTCTCCCCCTTCATCGCCGCCCGCACCTCCTTTCCCACCGGGCCGGTTCTTCTTACCTCGTTCACACGGGGCGACGAGTCTCTTTCGGGAGGAGACAGACGGGCTCCCCTGCTCCTCACATCGCGCCCGGCAGCCCCACTTGCCTCACAAAAGCCGGGCTGTCTCCGCAGTGTTCATTGGAGACGCTTCCTTTCGCAAAGTGGCCTCTCTCTGTCCACCCCTTGGGAGTCAGTTGCCTCTTTCCCCCCAGTCTCTCTCTCTCTCTCTCTCTCTTCTCCCTCGTTCTCTTCAAAAGTCGCTCCGAGTTTCACTCTTGACCAGCCTCCTGGTGCAGCGTCGGTCGTGGGGATGGTCGAGGAAGGGGGGCGGGAAATGGCCAAAGAGCGCGAAGTGGAAAACCAGGCGACGCCTTCGACCCGGAGGGGGGGGCAATGTGTGCGTGGCCGCCCTCCGACTTTCTCGACCCGGGCCCGGCTTGTGTGGCTGCCTGGGCGGGGGCGCCAGCAAGGCTTGGCCAGGCGTGGCTGCGGAAGGGTTAACACCTGTCTTCTTCTCCTCCTCCCTGCCGGCCGGCCGGGCGCTCGCGAAAAGTTTGGTCTGGACTGAGAAGCCGCCGCTGGCGGGGTTTTTATACCGGGCGGGCGCACGTGTTGACGGGGAGGGTGGGGGACGGGCCTTGAAGGCGCCGCGCGAGGTTGGAGGAGGGGGAGAGGCAGGCGACCCGGAGGAGGGTTGTCTGAAGGGAGGCACCGCCGAACCGCTGGCGGGCTTGGGGAATTCACGCTCCTTCGCCCGGCGAAGCCACCCGAGGCTCCGGGGTGACGACTCCTCGCCCGGCGGAGGCTGCTCCGGTACCTTTAACAGAACTGGGTCAGAGCGTGGGCACCAGTAGGAATAATTCCGGGGGCCGGGGCGGCAAAGCCTTTTAATAGTAGCTGTGGATTGTTGTCCTGAGTATAGTTTTTACCTGTGCGCATTTAGAGAAATGTCAAGTTTAAGATGAGGGGGAGCGCCCTCCCTTACCTCCCCCATACCCATAGAGGTAAGCATTAAGACGTACATAGCTGAGCAACTGCAGCCATATACATAAAAGACTACAACGCCCATGAGCTCTCGTGGTTTCCCTAGGGCTGATGGGAGGCGTGGAAAATCCGTTGTTGTCCTCTTCTGCATTAGGAGCTTATGCTGCTTTTCTCTGACTCAGAAGTTTGACTTTAAAGAGGTATAGGAGCATCTTCCTAGTCAGCTGGCCACCCTATGTGTGCAAGATCAAATCTGTCTTACAGGTACAGAGGAAAAGAGTGAATTGCCTAAGATTCCTTAATGGCAAGGCCAGTTGTCTTTTTAACCAATGTGTCCTCACCATCACTGGTCATTTGTCCTCTCCTGGTTCAGGAGAAAAGGCTAGTCCCAGGGCCTAACTAAGAAGAGTTCCTGCTCTTTGACTCCTGTGCTAGATCAGTGGTTTAGGTCTTTTTGGGAATTCAGTTCCCCACTGAAAAAGGCTGGACTCTTATGATCCATAGGGTCCTTTCCAGCTCCACAGTTCTTAGATTATGATGATGATTTCCCAATTAGGAGAGATGTGGCAGAAATACAGCCATCTTCTGATCAAGCCACGAGGCTCTATGAGCATTCCTTAAGCTATACGAGCATTCCTTAAGCTATATGATTTCCCAATTAGGAGAGATGTGGCAGAAGTACAACCATCTTCTGATCAACCCACGAGGCTCTACGATCATTCCTTAAGCTATGTGATTTAGTTCAGGCTTTGTCCACCATGGGACAGGCAATGCCAGCTCTGGATTGTGGCAGCTGAGGACACTGGAAGAGTGGTCCTGGCCTTGCCATCTTTTGACAGCAGCCAGCAGGCAGGCAGTTGTTGGGGTGATGAATCTAGCCCATCATCCAGTTATGAAGCCACACAGCTCAGGGAGTTAGTTATCTACCTATGAAGCCAGACGTCAAGAATTCAGTTTCCCACAGTGCCTCCTGGGAACAGAGCCTGTCTAGGTAGCCTTCAGGAAGCTGAACAGTCCTGAGGTACCTGAAGAAGAAGGGAATGCCACGGGATTTCTGAGTACTTTGTACGTAGAGAGCTCTGGAAAAGGCCACCATAAATCAGAATTGACTTGATGGCATACAATTAGTGTATTACTGTTGGTTTTGTGGATTTAGCATGGTAGATTCTATAGACTTGCTGGATAGATCAGTGGTTTAAGTATTTGACTGTGGAGTCAGAGATTAGGGGGTTCGATTCCTCATTGTGCCTCCTTGAACACAGGGTCCCTTCCAGCTCTGCAGCTCTAAGATGATTATGATGGTTTGGTGGATTTAACATGGTGGACGATATTTATTTATACACACTCCCTCCCCCCTCCCCCATTTGGGGTGCTTTTGCCTTTAATCTCCTGAGCCAGGTTAGCAGGTGGCATTGCAGCACAAGAAGGGCAGGCAGGAATGAAAGCCTCACCACTTAATGCCACTTGATGCCAATCCTCTGTGCCACAAATCATGGCAGAAGCAAGATTAGAACCAGGGATTTCCTGGATCAGACCTCAGACTTTCAGCTGCTCTGGGGCACAATATTAGCCATGTCTTTAAAACACAGTATTGACCTTTACCTGCACATCAGTTTGTGTAGACAATTGGTGAGTCCTATCTAGTGGAATAACTACTGCAACCCCATGTCTTTATATTCTTAATCAGGATCCAAATGCTTACTTCAAACATAAGTTTGCACAGAAAAGGTGTGAAAAGCATCAGTGTGGTTAACACCTGTCAACTGGATTTATTTTTCTGATCTGTCACCCTATTTTGTGAGTTAGGCATCCTTCAGTCTCGAAAGACTATGGTAACGTGCTCTGTGTGGAGGACTTGGAACAGCGTCTAGTGTGGCTGAGGAGGCCAATTCAGGAGTGGCAATCCCTTCCACACTGAGGACAAATACAACCTGTCCCCTGTCCAGCTCCCTGGTTTTGCTGCTTTTGTGACTTCCTCTTTGCCTCAGCCTGCTGGGCAAGGGTCTCTTCAAATTGGGAGAGGCCATGATGCAGTGCCTGCCTCCAGGCTGAATGCTCAGATGTCAAGATTTCCCATCTGTTGAGGTCTATTCCTAAGGCCTTCAGATCTCGCTTGCAGATGTCCTTGTATCGCAGCTGTGGTCTCCCTCTGGGGCGATTTCCCTGCACTAATTCTCCATGCAGGAGATCCTTTGGAATCCGCCCATCAGCCATTCTCACGACGTGCCCAAGCCACCGTAGACGTCGCTGTTTCAGTAATGTATTCATGCTGAAAATTCCAGCTCGTTCTAGGACTACTCTGTTTGGGACAAGAAGGTTAAAAGGGAGGTGACAGGAAACCATTCTGAATCATTTTTAGCAAGTTCTCCTTAAAGAGGGAAAATCAGGGAAACTTCATGCAGCCTCACATCATGTGCCATCAAGTCAACCCTGACTTATTTAACCATTTTCAGGGTTTGCCAGGGAGAGAAAATTCAGAAGTGTTTTACCATTCCCTTCTTGGGATGCCCTGGGACTGTGCAGCTTGTCCAAGGTTACACAGGCTGGCTCTACTCACAGAAGACACTGTGGAGAATCAAACTCCCAACCTCTGGCTCTGCAGCCAGATATCTAAACCACTGGGCATCCTCATAAATGGCCAAAGGCCATTCTCCTTCCCCCCATTTTTTTGTGTGCCCTGCTGCCAGCTAACTTTGCTCCATAACTCAGTACTAGTTAGGATTCAGCTTCATTTCCTGTGGTTATAACTGTGGGCTACCGTCCCATCTGGACACCATTCTGGGTCACTGCAATGAAAGAAAGAAAGAAATCACAACAGGCTAACCAACCCTTTCTGTCTCAGACACAGACAAAGATAGAACCAAATATATTTCTTTATTCCCATCCAGGTTTCTTCTTTAGACCACAACCATTCTTCCACCGTGGCTGATACATTTTTGTTTTTCCTCCACAACCAGCAACAGCAAGGTTTGGACTTTATATCCTTTGAGGTCCATTTCAGCTCCGCAGTTCTATGGTTCTGTGAATCTAGGGTGGAATTATATAAACTACACTTCTCGTTGAACTGCACGAATCTGAGCAGCAAGGTTTTGGGTATACAGTTTCTTTTTCAATAAATAAATATTCAATAAATACTGCACCGCTTATTCGTCTCCAGGACATGGTCTGAGAAAGGCGGCTCTTGGGCTTACCTGAGACCCCTGTTGGCTGTGTGGCAGCCCCCAGTCTTAGCGTGTCCACCCAGCTGGTCCCCTCTTGTCATGGTGGCTCCACATAGCGGCCAAGGAGGGTGCTAGGGCATGCCAGAAGGCTAGCGTGCAGGGGGAGGGACATAGGAGTTACACGTGAATTTTGAACTGCACAGGGGCCTGGCGCCCCTAACCACAGCCCCTAACCATGAGCCTTTCTTGTTCTGTCTGCAGCGAGTAGTTCGAGACTCCTATAGCCTAGAGATGGTATTTGTGATCATGCTTTTAAACTAAAATTGATTAATCCATTTCAAAAACTCAATAACCTGAAAATGCACGTTCCATAGGGCCATTTTAGTATCCAAGACAAGTGCCAGGTGACTGGGTTTGATTATCTTGAAGCGATGCTTGATAGAAACATACAAGTTCTCTTTTATTAGCAGAGATTAGTTATTTTATCAATTACAGCCATGTCCCACCTTTTGTCCAATAAATATGAGCCAAAATACATGGCTCTTCTCATTTTATTGTCCTAGCAACTACCTTATTTATTTATTTTTATTTATTTATTAGATTTCTATACCGCCCATCCAGAACGGGTCTACTCTGGGCGGTTTACCTTAAGAGAGAATAGCTGGGCTCTGCTCACACAGTGAGTTTCATGTCACAGTGGGAATGCAAAATGTGGATCTTCCAACTCCCAGTCCAATATTTGAACCCCTATGCTATATTGGTGCTCAACTTCTATGTGATTCCACCAGTTAAAAGGCATGTAAACAGTTCTGTTTCCAAAAATGCAGGAGTGTAATTCAAAGCACACCTTTGACTTTGGCACCCTTCTGCCTCTTCTCCAAGCTGGGAGATGCCCACTTCTTTTTTCCAGTCAGGAGTTACATTTGCCCCCATCTTTGTAGCATTGTATAGAAGCAGGTGACAGCAGTTGCCACAAATTCATTTCCACCTCTGAGGTGAGGACATGGAGAGAGATTGCCTAGAAGGACCTCTTCTCCTGAGGAAAATCAAGTCAAGGTAGATATAATTCCTTAAGCCTAATATTCTGAGATAAGTGCCCAGGGGTTGGGTTTTAGACCAAAACCTCTTGCTTCTAATTTTGGGAAAGGGGGAAAAATCTCTTTTCTGGACCTTTACATCACCAGGCATACCTAATCTATAAATTAATGACAGCAGTGGCTTGGGTCCCGAAGGTTGCTTTTCTCTATGAGAAAACTAGTTCAAAACTGTCAGCTAGTTGGGCTGGAATTTCTGTCAAGCACATACATGAATGCACAAATGCAGCATCACTATATGAGCGAAGAAAAGTAAATAATACAGATCAGAGGTAAGACACATGTTTTTCATGCAGGGAGTCCCGTCTGGTA